TTTTATTTCAATTGGAAAATATTTTAGTGAGTTGCGTAAGAATAGAGATACATTAAAATATCTTCTCGGAATAGCTCTTACGTGCAACTGAAAAACTTGTAGTTATTTAATGGGTGTTCAGGTTAAACGATTAAGAAATGGTGCTCCTTGTATATACCATTGTGTTTTCAGTGCAATATTAAAGTAAGTTAGAAAATATTTAAAAGCACGAAGTGTTTGAAAGTAATTATTGTGATAATTACCGACTTTCAATAGGTAATATTACACCAAGAAGGTCATATGGATGATGGTCTCACGTTGCAAAGATGTCAGCATGAGGAATCCCAGGCTGCTCGAATCATTCGCAATACTACAAGCTTATTCAGTCACTTTATAAGGTAGTTTCCACTCTGTTTTTAAAGTATTCTGAAATGATAAGAATTTCTCTAAGAGAATCCTTATTTCCTGCTTTCAAGTATTTGCATTTAGAAGCTACTGGCAATATATTTTTTACTGATTTAACTTTGTTATCTTGATTAGTAATGCCATTTAATGATAAACCAGTTTATTTAAGCGTATTTACACGAAATTTAATACCTTGAATCCAGAAACAAGATGGGTCATAATCCAGGTTGAAGAAAACATGCTAAATGATCTTAGTCTAACTCCATTAGTAAGTATTCTATGGAACCTAGAGCTTCACAATATTTGTAAAAGAATTATTATTTTTCTATTTTTCTTGGTAGACCAAATATTCTATCTAACTTTATTCAAATTTGTCAAACTAATCAAAAGGAATATTGATGCCTAATACTGTTTAGACAAAAAATAGAATGGGAAAGCATACTAGCCCCAAGCTCATGCTAATAAACAATACAAGAAATACAAAATAGGTCTCTACATGTCTAAGGAGGAGAATGCTAATTTACTGCCTTCATTATCTGGGCTGAAACATTTTGCCTGTACCTTTTTAATCACCTATCTTGTTGATCCTCCTACTTCTTTGTCACCTACCTGATCATATCTGGAAGATTTAAATATGAGAGCAGAGGCAGTTCTCCCTGGTGAACAATATGCAGTGTAACAGATCATACAGTAATGACAGCTAGGGCAGAAGGCTAACTGTCAGCTGAGATTTAAACTCTCTCAGTTAAACTGTTATGCGAGCATTTCTAAACCCCCATTTAAAAAACAAGTTTATTTGCAGTGAAATGGATCTGTGGGTATTCAAAGTCTGTAACAACTTCTCAGCAGAGAGACAGTGACTGTATGTGATTTTAAGGAATAATTCAAGATGTGGTTGTAAGACTTAAGAATAGATTCAATTGAATTACCTTATGAATAGTATTTATCTTCCAAATTTTGCTGTACTAGGGGATGATTGCAGTTAGTAATTATACCTCTGTAAGAATTATCTGAGATTGGGCTGTTCCATTAACTGTATAATTGAATTAAAAAACTGATGTGGAAAGTTAGGGCTATTTCCACACAACAAAACACCAAAGCCCTTGAATATGTGGGCACTGTGAAATGTACAATATGTGAGTACCCAAAGCATAGAGTCAACACTACAAAGCATATCAGAAAGTCAAGGAATTTAAAAAAAATTAATGTGTCACTGACTTGCTCTGTAATAATTTTGATTTATTGAGAAGGTAATATAAAGAGCTGTACTAATAATTGCCTAATGTTTGCCACACATGTGGCAATATAATGCCTTCTTTTCCTGGAAAAATGCAATTTTAGCCAATAATAAAACAAATATGTGGGACATGAATATCATTTAGATGAACTTTTATGTTGCTGACTGAAGAGCCCTTGCATCCTCAGGAGGTATTGAATCTTAATGAACCATTGACTAAATAAGCATGAAAAGATACTGTATTTGTCACATTTCATCCCTAGTTTGGTTTTCTGGATTCATGCCTACATTGAAAATATATTGTTTATGAAATAAATTTTCTGAATTAAAATTTGACTTGCTTTCACCACATTGATGCACTCACTTATGCTTAGGTTTTTTTCCAGTCTCTTGAAATATATGTTGCGCTTAACAAATTTTGTTCTGCTTCTCTATATCATCTGGCTTGTTAATTTGTCTGGAGTTTTCTCTCACTTACCAGTTAAGCTTAATTTTGGCAGGTTTTGATTCCCAGAAAGTTTGAGACTTAGATCTTTTATTACTAAACTTAGATTATAATATTTCTTTAACACGCAGCAAGAGAAAAGTCTTCAATTCAGGGCAAATTCCATGTTTCCTTCATTATAGCTCTTCTATCAGATGTGTGTTTGTATTTTTATGGTAAAATACAATTCTGTGTCATATATTAATTTAAAACTGCTGAGATCAATGTATAAGAATACACAATGAAATCTTTAAGAATATATGTAGTACTGAAGAAACTTTTTGTGTTGCTTGACAGAAGTTTTAATTGTGATCAGATGATCATCCTTATATTTTTACCTAATTAATGAAAAAATAAAGAAAAATGAGCTTTTAATGAAGGATTTGCTTTCACAGAACCCACTATACAAGCTTCTGTTTAAAACATTACTGCTTCATTTTCACAAGAGCCTGCACTAGTCCTTTTTATTTCTTGGGTTGAGAGTATAAAAACACAGCCACCTTTGCCAGCAATCAGCTCCTCCTAGATGATACTATTTATAGTAGTGAGTCAGACCATGGAAAATTGGGCTGTCACACAAGACTGAGAAAATACTTGAATAGGAGTGATTATTTTACTGACAACTGAGGTCCATTCCAACCCCGAAAACTCTGTCATTCTATGATTGCTTGAAATGCTTTATATTTTTAAATCCTGCCCTTCCTTATTTCCTGTATAGAATTGCTACAAAAGACCTCATTTAGGGTTAGGATTAGCCCTTATTTTTGCATTCTTTGTCTAGATGGCTTTAATATCTACTGGTATTTTAGTCCTTCTGCACATTACACCTATATCATCAATAGGATTTAAAATATCTAAACAAAATCAATTACTCTAGAAAGGACTTTGGTACAGCTTTCTCTGTTTCATCTTTTTGCTGAATTAGATAATTTTTTCTTACTTTTATTCTGTTTCTTTGGGTCTTTAAATCATTCCCTCACTTTATATCAGTGCAGAAACTGAAATGTGATTTCACTTCAGGAAACTCTGAGTGCTGAAGATCTAAACAAGAGATGTTTGAATCATATTCAGTTCAGATATCTGTTGCTCATGTGCATATGTCATATTGTAACAAGACTTGATTTAGATAACAACAGAAAATGTACTGCTACATAATACTGTAAATTACAGTGGGAAAATATTAATTTTGCTGTCCTTTCTTGTTTTTTTCCGTAGTGGAAACAACAGAACACTATCACACACTGCCCTGCCTGTTGAGGAGATGGCTCAGACTCTGCAAGACCTGATTACTTACTTTCAGCTTCCCGAAGAAGACCTGGAACATGAAGATAAGCAAAACAAACTTCGCTCACTCAAAAACAGACAAAATCTATTCAAAGAAGAGGTACAGGGAGAGGCACTGTTAATTATTTTAAATGTGTTCTGCCACAAACATTGAGAAGAATCTGAACATGATCATCCAGATGTATGCATGTGATCTGGAATGTGAAGTTCCATAGTTGATATACATAAATATACACTTGCCACAGGCCAAACGTCTCTGCCATAAAATGTGATCATAATAGTTCTGAGCATTTTTAAACAGACATCATTTTAACAAGAAGCAATTGTGATGCAAAATTTCTTTTTCTCCCTATGAAGTTATACAACCTGAACACCCCAAATGTGTAATAAACCTTGGATCAGTAATAGATGTTATTTCTGGTGTCTATTCTGCCTACCAGGACATGAATTGAAAACTTTTGATCTCCAGAAACTAGAAGAATGTTAGTTTTAGACAAAGTTATGTATTGCATAACTGTAGAATTGATCCTTTCTGAAAATGGAATAACTACACCTCTTTATAAAGAGTAAACATATTTTACAATGTCGTTAGACATGTTTGAATTGCTTGCAGGTTTTCAGTACCATTTGAGTCTGTAACCAAACTGAAGTTAAAAATATATTCGAGTATTTAAAATTGTTTGCTTTACAGATTTTTTTTTGGATAGTAAAATTTCCACTTTTTTAATCAACAAAATTTCCTTTTTTGTAAAATTTAAAAGGTTTTATTATTATGCAAGGAAGATTTCATGTAAAAAAAGATTGTTTAGAAAAATTATAAATGCCTTGTCAGCTTTTTTATTCCTTATTTTTTGTAATAGTTGAGTAAGGAACACTATAGAATTAATCAATCTCTAAAATTAATTATTTTGATGCAGAAAAATACATATTCAAATCTCTTAAGCACAGTTGTTTCATTGGGGTTTTTTGTTTTAATTTAAGATAATGCAGCTTTCCAATTTGTATAGGAAAAGATCTTTCAGATGGACAACAACAAATTCTTTTTCACCTACAGCTCACTTTCCTGTCTGTCCTATGCATTTAGGGAATGCTGGCATTAGTTTTGAATTGCATTGATCGCTTAAATGACTACAACAGTGCAGCTCACTTTGCAGGAATTGCAAGAGAAGAACATGGGATGGCATGGAAAGAAATTTTGAATCTCCTTTACAAATTGTTAGGTAAGTTCTTAAAAAATCTATTGTAAAAAAACCCAGGAAATGTATATTTTATACACTATTTGCTACTTCATCATCAAAGAATACTTCATGTGTTATTAATTCTATCATGTAAACTACAGAATTTCTTCTATATACTTACTGTCATTTATTACAGAGAAAGAGTTTATTGAACAATGATACAGCAAAAAATGTAGCACTCAGCTAGAAAAAAGTTCTGTGAGGCATGCCAAATGCTTTTTTTTTTTTTTAATAATTTAAATGTACTTGTGGTATGCAATGAGATGTGAATTATTATTTTAAAAATTGGAAAAACTGGAAAACTGTTTTTGCATATGAAACTAAGTCTAATAGTAATAGTCAGGTCTGCTGCATCCATGTGTGTTACTTGAGGCTTAGATTTAAAAGTTAATAAAAATAATTGCATAAGACAGAAGTGGAAAGATGTTTTTTAATGTCAGTGCCATGGTTTTTAGAGTAAACTCTTTCTGTGTTGTAGAAGGGCCAACATTATCAAACAGGAAAAGTATGAATGTATACTTTAAATGTCCAGTTTGATACCAGAATTGTGAAATCGCTCATATAGGAGAAACTTGTCTTCTGATGGAGTTTAAATACATTCTAATTTCATTACAAAGAAATTCAGTTCTAAACCATAGTAAATAATCAAGTTGAGAGTCAGGGGAAGAATAAGAGAAACCAGTGGAAGCATGAGGTTATTCACATAGCACGGACACGTAGGCACTTCTGGTGAGATCTTATTGCATTAGAAAGTAATGAGTTATCACTGCCTGCATTTTACTACAGTCTTACGAGTTTCAAAAAATGTAGAATGAAAAAAATGTCATTAGTACTATGTAGGCCTTTTCAGATTTTGTCTTGATTTTCTTCTGCAGGTACATTTTGAACACACTTGTTCTGATGTAAGAAATATTAATGCTCCATAATAAAAATCCTTGGCAATTGTATACAAAAGGTGCTGTTTTGTCACTTTTAACCCCTGTCATTAATAATAACTTCTAGACGAAAAGAAACAGTAATACTTGAAAGTCTTGAATGTTGATGAACTTTCCAGCTGGAGTCAAATAACATTGTATTCTGCACTACTGAAAGGCTAAAAGCTATCCGTTCTATAACACATTGTAATCAGAAAATAAAGCTAAACAGCAGTGCACCCAACCTGTATTTGACCTTAAACATCTGCATATGATCTTCCCATTCATTGGTAGGGAGAAATAGAAAAAGCAATATGTCAGCAGTGTGGTCATGGCAGTGCTTGACATTTGCATCAAGCAAGGGTGGTGGATAGCTTCTATTTAAATTTGACAATAAAATAAAACATAAACAAGACATATATTTTTGCTGAAATTCTTGTTTATCCAGTAGACCCCTGTGAACTTAAAAAACTGTTCTCTTCAGAAGTTATGTCAGTAGTTGATATTCAGAGTAATGAAAATCTTTATTATAGTAACATATATGGATTTGTCTATTAATTATTCGTTGAAATTACTCAAAAATGTGTTAAAATAGATATGATAAGCATTCATGATTTAAAAAGGAAGTCTGTATACCTCATGTTTTTTTCCCAGCTGCTCTCATCCGTGGCAACAGAAACAATTGTGCTCAATTTTCCAGTAACCTTGATTGGCTAATCAGTAAATTGGACAGATTAGAATCTTCCTCAGGTGAGACTAATTTTGCAATGTAAATTAACTATCAGTTACTGTCTGTCTTGCATTATTGTCAAAGCAGTTTTCCTTGAAACCAAAATGCATTAGAAAACAAGTACACTGTCAAGGTTTTGGGTCATTTTTGCTTGCTTAGCTGATTGTTTGTTTGGATGTTTTTGTGGTTTTTTTTATTTGTTTGAGGTTTTTTGTTTTGGAGTTCTATTTGGGTTTTTTTTGTTGGATTTTTTTGTTTATTTGGTTTTGCTTGGTTTTGGTTTTAATTGAGAAAATTAATGCATTTACAGAGACATTTTTGTTGTTTTTTTTTTTGTTCCATACATTTGATATGTGCAGTACCACATCCAATCAGTCTTGAATTTTATGTTAGTGTATCAAGACTACTGTACCATTAAATAACACAAGTTTGTGGGCACACATACAAAACCCATGTATATGTAGATAATAGAACTTTTTTTGTTCTGGAGTATTCAAATATA